ACCCGCGACCCACCCCGCGACCCACCCGCGACCCACCCGCGACCCACCCGCGACCCACCCCGCGACCCACCCCGCGACCCACCCCGCGACCCACCCCGCGACCCACCCCGCGACCCACCCGCGACCCACCCCGCGACACCCGCGACCCACCCGCGACCCACCCGCGACCCACCCGCGACCCACCGCGACCCACCCGCGACCCACCCCGCGACCCACCCGCGACCCACCTTCGACCCAAACCACGTCGAAGGTACAAGCCACCATTTACGGCGCCTGCGGCGGGCTTTTTTTGCATTCCTTCCAGGTGGAGAGCCCGCGACCCACCCCGTGACCAACTCGCGACCACCCCGCGCCCCAAACCACGTTCAGGGTACAAACCACATTTTTCGGCGCCTGCGGCGGGCATCTTTTGCATTCGTTTCAGGTGGAGAGCCCGCGGCCCATCCGTGACCACGTTCAGGGTACAAACTACATTTTTCGGCGCCTGCGGCGGGCATCTTTTGCATTCGCTCCCGGAGGAGAACCCGCGGCCCACCCGCGACCCAAACCACGTTCAGTGTACAAACAAATTTTTGTTGGCGCCTGCGGCGGGCTGCTTTTGCATTCCTTCCAGGTGGAGGTGGAGAGCCCGCGACCCACCCGCGACCTAAAGCACGTTCACTGAACAAGCCAATGCCGCACAAGCGCGGCGGTGGATTTTCGCATGCCGTCTGAGCCCGCAAGGACCTCTTCAAGCCCCGCGCATCCACACCAGCCCGTCCAGCAACTTTGCCCTGGCGAGTTGCCTTGATCAGAGAAGGCGGGGAGCATAAAGTGGGAAAAAGGACTACGTTGCAGTTATCTTGGGAAAGGAGGGGGAGGCAGGAGGAGTAAACAGGGGACGAGGAGAACGCGGAAGAAGAGAGGATGTGAGGATAATGTGGAGGGAGAAAAGGAGGAGGAGCAGGAGGACGAGGAGGGGGAGGAGGGGAAGGAGGGGAAGGAGGAGGACGAGGAGGGGGAGGAGGGGCAGGATGATGATGATGGACGACAATGGGAGGACGATGATGGAGGCCGATGAGGGGGAGGACGACAATGGGAGGACGATGATGAAAGGACGAGGGGGGGAGAGGGAGGACGAGGAAGAAGAAGAGGAGGAGGACGAGGAGGAGGAGGATGACGATGACGATGACGACGAGGACGAGGAGGAAGAGGAGGAGGAGGAGGAGATCGCCATCGACAGGGAAGGTGGGGGCCACGAGGTCCGCCGGCTCGACGACGCCCGCGTCGCCCGCGCCCGCCCCCTCACTCTTATCCGCAATTGCGGGGTGCTACGTATATACAAGTGGCACGTGTGTGCCCAGGCTCATACAACAAACACTGAAAGGGCGTTTGAGGCAGGAAGACACCATGACGGAGGGATCGGAGATGGAGAAGGGGAAGCTAGGGCGGCGCCGCCAGGGCGTGCCTAAGAGAAGGGGAAGAAGCAGGATGTGAACGCATAATAATCAAAGATCGAGTAAGAGCCCCTCCCAAAGGATTGGGGATCGAGCAGGAGGATCGACGAGGGCAATACCTCTTCGAGGTCAGCGTTGCGAGGATTTCTAAAGCGAAAGTGGCCTGACCACCTCAGCTCAGGGCATCTCGGAACCCAGAGTTGCGAGGATGTCTCAGGCGAAAGTGGCCTGAACACCTGAGTTCAAAGCATCTTGGAACCCAGAGTTGCGAGGATGTCGCAGGCGAAAATGGCCAGACCACCACGGGACAGGGCATCTGGTAATCCAGAGATGCGGGGATGTCTCAGGCGGAAGTGGCTGAACCACCTTAGTTCAGGGCATCTCGGAACCCAGAGTTGCGTGGATGGCGAAAGTGGCCGGACCTCCATGGGGCATAACACCTCCGAGTTTTAGAGTTGCGAGGATGTCGCATGCAAAAGTGGCCAGACCACCATGGGGCAGGGCATCTCGGAATCCAGAGTTGCGGGGATGTCTCAGGCGGAAGTGGCTGGACCTCCTTATTTCAAGGCATCTCGGAACCCAGAGTTGCGGCCCCAGGAGGCCCCAGGAGGTTCCAGGAGACTCCCAGGAGGCTCCGAGGCGGGGTCTGGGGTACCAGAAGGTACAGAAAGCTCCAGGAGGCCCCAGGAGGTTCCAGGAGGCCCCCAGGAGGCTCCGAGGCGGGGTCTGGGGTACCAGAAGGTACGTCGGGGCTAGATTTGGGGAGGATGTCTCAAGCGGAACCGCCATTCTCTGAGAATCGGGGTCAAAATCATTGAAAATACCATGTGTTTTTGAAGGTTTTATGTTACAATGTTGAAGTTCCCATGTGTTTTTTTACCCTGACGTCACGATCTGTGTGAGGGGTGCCACCGATTTGCAGAATCTCGAGGATGTCCCTAGCGAAACGGCCAGAAAAAACTGCGAACGACGCGGCGCGTACGCATTCATCGCCTCTGAGCTCTATTCCCTCGGAGAGGTGCGTATGATACGATGCGTATATATATATATGTATGTATATATATATGTATGTATGTATGTATGTATGTATGTATGTATGTTTGGTTGGATGTATGTATGTATGTATGTATGTATGTATGTATGTATGTATGTATGTATGTATGTATGTATGTATGTATGTATGTATACATGTATATGTATATGTATGTATATATACACATATGTATATATATATATATATATAGAAAGAAAGGGCCCCTGGAGGCCTGGCCGCCCCCCTTGAGATCCTGGCGCTGCTACTTGATCCCCGGCGGGCGCTCTCGCCCAGCTTGGGGCCCTGGGCCATCCCGGGCCGACCTGCTCGCAGCACGGCGCGGGAAGGGGGGGTCTGGGGGTCCAGAGTGGTGTTTTTCTGCGATGATGCAAGTTTCCCTGGCGTCAAATTTCATGGCGCCAACATCGCAGGGCGGATCTCGCTCGGAAAACGACCAGATGGGCCTGGAGTGTCCTGGAGAACTTCGTTCCGGATTTCGAGGTGGATTCGGTGCGTTTTTTTTTTTTGGGGGGGGGGCAGGAGTGAAGACTAAAACAAATCCACGCGGAATTCACTTCGTTTTTCGCTCGCCGTTGCGGGGTTTCGCATTGGCAGGACTCCGCGCAACGATCCGCTGCAGCACGTCTGCAAGGTCGGCGCAGTGACAAATCCGAGGGCCGTCCCAGGGACCCGCGGGCCATGGGCCCTCCTCGCGGCATGGACAACACGGGCCATGGGGGAAACGGGTCCTCCCGGTGATGCGGGCATTCTCGCCCCGTTTCCAGATTTGTCCGACTCGAAACCTGACGCAGGAAGATCGGGCCCATGGGCCCAGAGTGGTGATTTCTGCGATGCTGCAAGTTCCCCCAGCGTCAAGTCTGAGGGCCGTCCCAGGGACCCGCTGCTCCTCCAGAGCCGTCTTTCTGGACGGTCTGGGGGTCCCCTGGACGGAGGCCCCAGGAAGACGCCGCCACGACGAGCCAGGCTCCGCCCTGCTGGTTGTCGGCGCGTTGGATTGCCAGCCCCCTCGGGCAATGAAAAAATCATGACGGAAGGTTTTTTTGCCATTTGCGGCCTTTGGGGGCCCTTACCGGCCCTCGAGACCGTCGAAAAACGATTCAGGATGAAAAACGGGTCCAGGGGAATGGGTCGAGACCTCGGGGGGTCGACGTAATGAACAAATCATGACGTCGGGGTTTGGGAACGTACTCTTTTCCCTGTGATCGGCATCACCTTCTCTCGACGCCGATCTCAAAGGTTTTGTCCTACGCTCCTGAGGACGCCTCTCCTCGAGATGGGCATCGCCCTCTGTGGGCTTGTCGATCTCGGGGGCAGGGACGAGCTCCCAGAGATCCGACGTCGTGATTTCTTCCATACGGGGTCCCCAGAAGTCTCGACCCATTCCCCGGGACCGGTTTTTCTTATCCTGAGTAGTGTTTGGACGGTCCCGGGGCCCGGCGCGGGCCCCCCGGAGCCGAAAATTTCGCCACCAAATTCCCGTCCTGATTCTTTAACGACGCGATCCTGTCTGGGGGGACGAGCTCCAGGCGGGAATACGAAAAACCTCCGTCTTGATTTTTGTCCATGCGTTGGCTCTCTGGGGGCGCGCTCCAGGCTGGCCCCTGGAGCTCCGGGCCCTGGGCGCCCCCGCGGCGCCCCCGCGGCCAGGCCCGCACGTCCCGCCGCGGGGCATGGCGCGCGCGCGGGGCCCCCTCGAGCGGCTGCAGCGCCCGGCGCCGCGCGGGGCGCCCCGGTGTGCCGCGGCTCTCCTGGCGTCCGCTCCGCGATCGCGCCGTGAGGAGCGCGCCGCGCCTCGGGGGCGGTGCGCCGCGGCGTCCCGCGGCGCTGCCGGGAGGGCTCGTCGCGGCGGCCGCCGCGAGGTGCGCCTCGGCCTTCGCCGCCTCCGCCGCCCCGGGCCCCCCCCCCCACCTCGGACAAGCCGAGGAGGAGATTTGCCAGTTTGAAACAGATCCCTATCCCTGTGTTTGACATCACCTCACCTCGATGCTGATCTTAAGGGCCCCCTCAGCTTCTGAGGGCACGTCCCTAAGAGCTTCCTCGCTTTTTGCTCGCACATCTTAGGGATAGCGATAAGTTCGAGGCTGGTTAGAGATTGGAGGAGGAGGAGGAGGAGGAGGAGGAGGAGGAGGAGGAGGAGGAGGTGGAAGGAGGAGGAGGAGAAGGAGGAGGAGAGGGGGGAAAGAACGGGGAGGAGGAGGTGAGTGAGGAGGAGGATGGAGGAGGAGGAAGGAGTTGAGGAGGGAGGAGGAGTGAGGAGGAGGGGGGGGAGGCAGGGCAGGAGAGAGCAGCGAGGACGCGCGGGGGCCCGCTGTGGGCGAGTGGGCGAGCTTCCGCTCAGCGTGTCGCTCCGCCAGATCTGGCCCACCACGCTGCGGCGCGAAGCGCGATCCCGCATCCTCCTCCTCCTCCTCCTCCTCCTCCTCCTCCTCCTCCCTGCTGTTGCCTGCCCTCCCTCCCCAGACTGGGGAGGCAGGGGGGCCGCAGCAGGAAGGCGGCGGCCCGCGGGCGAGGCGCCCCCGCCGGCGCCGAGCAGCCGCCCCGCGGAGCAGCGCGCGAGCAGGGGCCCGGGGAGCGCCGGCGTCGTCGGCGTCCGGCGCTGCCTTCGACTTCGCGTAACCCAGACCCCCTCGGGCAATGAAAAAATAATGACTGGAGGTTTTTTGCTGTTTTCGGCCTCTGGGGGCCCTTGTCGGCCCTCGAGACCATCAACAAAACGATTCAGGCTGAAAAACGGGTCCAGGGGCCTCCCCGCAGCCCCCAAAAAGCCGCGCACCACAGGTCGCGCTTACCCAGGGTCACTCTGGCGTGTAGCGTGCAGCCGATGCTCAGGGAGGGCCGCTCTTGCCTGGGCCGCCATGTGAGGCGTTCCGGCAAGGGCCCAACGATCAAACGGATTGAACAAAATCGAGACGGCCGTTTTTCGTCGCTTCCGGCCTCTCTTGGGGCCCTTGCCTGCCTTCGGGACCGTCAAAAGAGGACTCGGCATGACAAATCGGCCCTGGGGAAGGGGTCGAGACCTCTGGGGGTCGACGTTGTGAAAAAAATCATGACGACGGGGTTCTGGGATGTGAGGCGTTCTTGAAAGTGCCTCTCGCAGGCGATTTTTCTCTCCAGATCCTCGCGCCCCAACCAAAAAAATTGCCGGTTAGAAGAAAAGGGAGGAACCCCAGGACACATCCCAAAAGAGGATATTCAGACCCACCCCTATCGTGGGTGGACGCCCCCCATCGTGTATTCCGGGGTCGGGCCCCAAATTTTCTCGTCCATTCGAAAGCCCCATGAGGCCTGGGATAGGGGTCGACACATCCCCTATGAGCCTCGCCTTCGTCGGACGCTTGGCATCGCTCGGACGTGTGCATTGTTCCTTCAGCGAGGACCATCTAGGAACATCCTTGATCATTTGGCGAAAAAGCCACGCACGAAACCGACAACAAAACACAGGGAATGGACGTCCGAGCGATGGCCAGGACGGGGCTACGACAAGGCTGGCTCATTTCCAGAGCTCTCGGAGCGTGCGCTCCAGAGCGCTCCGAGGAGGCCGCCCGCGGGCGAGCCACGGCGCCCGAGACCTCCTCCGGAGCCGCCAGATCTCAGAGATTCTCTCGCCCCGTGTTATCGTCGTCTCCCTGGCTTGAAGTCGTGCTGGTCCCTCTACAGGAGGAGTATTCTAACCATCTGGGGGCGATCCTTCCCTGCCATCCCGTGGTGGTGGGTCCTCGCTTTGAAGAGACAGCGCCCCGCGTCCTCACTCCCGCTGCCCCCTCCCACCTCCTCTCAACATCATCTTCATCATCACCCGTTTCAGCACACCCCTCCAACGTTTCGTGGCCCCATGGGGAGCTCCACCGAGTGCCCCAGTGGCACCGCCCGCATGCGTCACCACCTCCACCAAGATCAGCGCTTAGTGGCCCAATAGGGAGCTCCACCGAAGGCCGCAGTGGCACCGCCCGCATGCGTCACCCCCCCACCCTGTGCAGCGCTTCGTGGCCCAATAGGGAGCTCCACCGAAGGACCCAGTGGCACCGCCCGCATGCGTCACCCCCACCCAGTTCAACGTTTCGTGGCCCCATGGGGAGCTCCACCGAAGGACCCAGTGGCACCGCCCGCATGCGTCACCCCCACCCAGTTCAACGTGTCGTGGCCCCATGAGGAGCTCCACCGAAGGCCCCAGTGGCACCGCCCGCAGTGCAGTGCTTCGTGGCGCCATGTGGAGCTCTACCGACTGCCCCAGTGGCACCGCCCACATGCGTCACACCCACCCAGTGCAGCGCTTCGTGGCCCCATCGGGAGCTCCGCCGAAGGCCCCAGTGGCACCGCCCGCATGCGTCACACCCAGCCAGTACAGCGCTTCATTGGGAATGGTAGTCCCCATTCCCTGGGCGGGCTCTTTTTTGAAAACCGAAGCTCCTATGAAAACCAGTGTGGGGGGGGAGGGGCAGGACGAGGAGGAAGAGGAAGAGGAGGAGGAAGAGGAAAATGGAGATGAGGAGGTGGAGGAGGAGGAAGAGGAGGAGGGCGAGGAGAGAGGAGGCAAACGACATGCGGAGTAAAAAATTAACCCTGCTGGGAGGAGGAGAAGGGGGCAGAGGAGGAGGAGGACGAGTAATAAGAGAGGAAACGGGGGGAGAGGAGGACGAGGAGGAGGAGGAGGAGGAGGAGGAGGACGAGGAGGAGGAGGAGGAGGAGGAGGAGGAGGAGGAGGTCGCGCGCTGACGGCCCCTCCGTCCTTCCAGGTCCCCGAAGCCGTAGGGCCGTAGTCCCGTAGTCCACGACGGGGCACGGGCGCGGCCGAGGGTCGTCGACGTCGCCGTCGTCGTCGTCTTCGTCGTTTTCGCCGCCGTCGCCGTCGAGCTGTCGCCGTCGGGGCCAGGACAGAAGACGAGATCCACCAGGACAGAAGACGAGATCCACTGAACCCCACTGAAACTATTATTTTCTTCGTGAGTGGAGGGCTCGGTCACCCGAGAGCTCCGAGAGCAATGGCACTCCACGAATCGTGCCACGAATCCCCGCGGGCTCCGACGGAGCAGCAGCGGTGAAACATCGGAAGAGCTTGAAACTTGAGAGCCACACGTTGTTTGTTTTTGTTGGTGTTTGTATGTGTGTTTGTTTATGAACATGCTAGCGCGCGGCCCTGCGGATGAGTGGCACAGCCAGACACAGCCAGGGCCAGGGCAAAGAGAGCATTGCGCATTGCATTGCGGGTGCTCGCAATAGCTCGTCGGCGCTCGCGCCAATCGAATTCACACTCCAAACGAACTAGCTGGGGGGCGGGGGGGTCTCTAATCTGCACTACAAGAACATAGATGTATGAACCTATGAGTAAGATAGTCTGTATGTAATTGTTCAATGGGTACATACACAGTTGTATCAAGGAAGCTAGTCGATGGATGACCTACCTACCCTAGTTGAAGCAGTGCTTGTGGTCATCGAATTCTTCGGGGATCTTAATAGCACTGCACGTGGAACTGGAACTCTTGCACTTCCCACCCGTGGTGCCGACCTTGCCCTTGCTCTGTGGCTTGGGCGTTGGCTGGACTGCCATGGACAGAGGCTCACGGGTGAGGAGGACCTTCTCGGCCCCCAAGCATTTCGAATTCAAAACCAAACTGTAAAAATCAACATCTACTGACACGGTCTCCAACTTGTTGAACGCAGTGTACTGGAACTCGAAAGGAAGGGTCTGCTTGTCGACAGACAGCACTGGATCCTCTAGCACAGCCTCGGTCCGCACCCCCTTGATCGTCTTCGAAGCTTCCTGCTGGAAACGCCGACAAGGCTCAGGACGATGCGATCGCGGTTCCCCGTTCCCCCGAAGGCCCCGAAGGTTTCCGATCGTTGTTTCACAGGTTGTGCTCGAGGTTTTCGGCCCGATGGTTTTTCAAGCATCGAGGATTTTCGACCGTGGAGTCCCGATGGTTTTCGGACGTGGCCCCAACGAAGGTATTCGAACCTGGTTATCCCTAAGGTTTTCGAACGTGGACCCCCCGAGGGTCCAAATGTTTTCGGAACTTGATTTTGACGATACTTTCGAAGTATTGGTTTCAGAACTTGGTTCTGAAATTTTTGATCGCAATCGCTCCTCATCCTGATCGGCTCCTGACCCGCTGGCGCAGACATGCCCTCGCCATAGTCTTATCCTCACCCCTCCTTCTGTTCCACCTTCTCATCCTCCCTATCGCCTACCCCTCCTCTCCACCTCTTGTTTCGTCGAGGCGGTATCGTCCCTCCTCCTCCTCCTCCTCCCTCCTCCTCCCCTTCCTCCTCCTCCTCCTCCTCCTCCTCCTCCTCCTCCTCCTCCTCCCCCCGCTAAGTTCCCGTTCGGAAGGAGACGGGGGAGGATGGGGGAGAAAGATGAGCATATCGTCCTCGTTACGCACCCTTCCCGCTCCTTGACGGGTGGAAGTGGGATAGACCAGGCTGGGACGAAGGAGTCGCCCGCCGACGGGTGGGCGGAGGTGCCGTGGCTGGTGACGTAGAAGTCGATGCCGAACGCAGTAGTGATCTTGAAGCTGTGGGGCAGCGGCATCCTCGTAATACTGCCCACGTAGTTCAGCCTCAAGGTGGGGTTGCACTTGATCGCAACGATGCCCTTCGTCACATCGTCGGCATCCTGCTCTCTGAGCGCCAGGTCGGACCACCCGCGCTCCAGCGTGACGTCGGACGCAGGGCAGCTAGTCTGCACCATACATTTTTTCCAGATGAACGCCTCAAGGTTGAGCATGAACACTTTGATAATGGGCGCCGCATCGCCTTCCCAGAGAGACTGGATCGTAGATATCACTATGGCGCCCTTGGTCCCCTTGGTAGCATCTGAATCTCCTGCGGCGACGGCCTCTTTGATTTCTTCCGCCATCCCATCAAGAAGAGTAGCATCCAGCTCGAAGTATTTGTTCAACGACGTGTCATTTCCAGCCGCCTCTATCATCGCTTGCCAAGTGGACACCCATGATCCGTCGTCAGTAGCATTGTCCGTAGAGGCAACGTCAACCATCGACTCTGCGAGGGCGCGAGCTGCCGAGTCGGTGTACCCGTCCAAACCGGCCGCCCCAATCGAGTTCAGAATCCCAACGACGTAGCGGCTGCGCAATGACCCAAGGTTCCACAATGTTTCATCCGACTCGCAGATGCCACCTGTGAGCTCGGATATGGGGGGCGATCCATCTTGCTTGTTGAGCCCGCGCGCCTTCATAATGAACCTCGTGAACTTGTTGTCGAAGGTGTTGGCAGACGCTTGCTTGAAAGCCTGCAACACAGAAACCACGTCGAGCACAGGAGGAGCGGGTGTCTTGCCAACGACCTTCTTCCTCGACGCCAGGGCTCCCATGATCTTCTGCGAAATGCTGATGTAGAGCTGGTGCATCGCAATGGGGCTGTCGGACTTGTTGGTGCTGAGGAGGGCGCGCATCTTCAGCACGAAGGCTTCGTCATCGATGAACTCCGACATGGCTGACAACGCGTGCTTCGCGCGAGGACTCGCGCTGTCCGACTGAGGAGGGGAGTCAGCCTGCCCATGGTCTTGGCTATGCTGCGGCCCCTGCGCCGCCTCCTCCAAGGCAGCGTGCACCTCTGCAGCACGCAGCTCAAGGTCGTGCGCGTGGATGCAATGCTGCGTCAGCGCCTTCCTAGGAAGGGCGCAAGAAACCACGCCGCGCCGCAAACAGTGACCTCCCCTCCGCTCCTCTGGGGAATGCGGGAGGGAGACAATTGGTTTGCACGGCGAGGTTTCTTGCCCCCAGCCTGAGGGCGCTCCACTGCTCGAACGTACCCCCTTGGAACACGACCTTCTTGCTGAGGATGAACTTGATGCCAACGTTGAACATCTGGTTGATCTCGTCAACCTTGTGACTGGGAAGTCCGCTGACGGGCGTGAAGACGGCCTGCACGAGGTCGTCGAGCCAGAGCTTCTCGCGGCTGCCCATCATATCATCACCCGCGATCGTCGCATCCACTGCCTCATCTGGGATGGCCACTGGACCCTGAGCAGAGCCGACCTTCCTCTTCTTGGCTGGTTGCTTTGCCACGACCTGGGCTTTCGCCTTCGCCTTCGCCTTCGCCTTCGCCACTGCGACCTTCTGTGCTGCCAAGCTCCTCTTGTCCCCATCCCTGTAAAGGACAGAGAACATCATCGGTGCCTTGATCCCTTTGAGCATGGACGCGGCAGTATGTTCATCTCGCATCAGCCACTCGTGCCCAGGGATGTCCAGCGGCAGCGCAAACTTCAACACCTCGAGGCTGATGAAGGTCAGAAGGGTTGGGTCAATGAACCCAGTGAAGGTGTCGAGGACGACCAGGGCGGCGTTGTTGATCTGGGCGACCGTCTCCACAGAGAGCTCCTTCGACAGGTACTCGCAGCTATCCTCGCAGAGACGCTTGTACAGCGGCCACACACCGACCTTAACCATTTTGTGGTAACCGCTGATCGCCTTCTTGTAATGGTCGGGGCTGGAGAAATACTTGGAAAAGTGCTTCATGACGTGAGCTTCGTAAAGCTTCTGGTATGTAAACTTGCCTGTCTTCGGGCACGAGTCCACCGAGAGGGTCTCCCTTTTCGCCTCGGCCTTCCAACTCTTCTCCGCCTGAGCGGCCTCCTCGTAGATTTCGATGTGCGTGGTCGAGGCGCCATGGTGGTACTTGTTGGCGATCTCCTTGAGCCAGAGCTGGACGACAACTGGGGTGTTCGGCTTCAGGACGAGAACGTTCGTCAGGCCATTCTCCACTATCTCCTCCACGAACTCGTTCTTCGGATTGGTCTGCGCCGCGAGCAAGACCGCCTTGGGGGCGGGGGGGCGATGGCGACGACGACGACGCCGACGCCGGCGCCGACGCCTCGAGCATCTTGAAAACAAAGAAAACGTTACAACTTTCCATGTTTCCAGATGCTCGGGGCGACGGCGACGACGACGACGGCGGCGGCGACGCTGCCTGGGCCCAGAAGAGTTGTTTCCCAAATTCGATTTGGAATAAAGAGAAACGAATGCCAGGACCCAGAAACACACTTTCTTCCCAGGTCCGACTTGCACAAACACGTGATTTCCACCAGGCGAACCGAAATTGCTGAAAAGTTTCAGGCCCAACAGGGCATACCGCTTGGAAGCGATCAGTGCATCTCTTGATTTTCCTCTCATCCTCATGTTCCTATTTCGCCTCCCCCCCTCCTCCTCCTCGTGCCCCCCCTCCTGTAGAATCCTGCACCCTGCGGATGTTACCCAAAGGGGGGGCATTTCGGGTTGTGGTGTAGGGCGCACTTTGCACCTCCTCCTCCTCCTCCGCCTCCTCCTCCTCCTCCTCCTGCTCCTCCTCCTCCTCCTCCTCCTCCCCATGATCATCATCATATGCCTCCTCCTCCTCCTTCTACTCCTCCTCCGTATCCTCCTCATCCTCCTCCTCATCGTCTTCCTCCTACTCATGGGCCTCGCAGTAGCTGGCGCCGCCAATCATGTGGTAGATACCGTCGGACTCGGTGGTCGGAGTCTCGACTGCCAAGAGAGAACCTCGCAGCTCTGTGAGGCCACCGTCCTGAAGAATTCCCGCACAATACTTTCGGACCACTGTCATAATTTTCCTCTTGTTGTTGGGCGACCGCACCATGAGCGATTGCCACTCGCCCCCGACCTTCTTCAGCGCAGGCTTGGTGGTAGCAGGGCCCTTTGCCCAATCAGTCAGGATCATACGGAAGAGCTTGCCACCACGCTTGTCAGGGTACATATTCGCCACCTCGGCCTCGACCAGCTCCCTGTTGACTATGCCATCGACCACGAACTCCATTCAAATATATGTGTGGAATGCACTCCGAGACGCTGCAAAATGCACAAACTGACTGCTCGGGAGCGCTAGCTCGAGCACAAATGGCTACAGCATGTTAGTGGTTTTAACCGAACCAGCTCACGAAATCTGGCCTGGATCGCGTGCATTTAGGTTCTGCGGAGGGTGTCTTCACCGCTCCGTCACGACTCTAGTATTGAAGATCAACAGATCTGCAATACTCGATTCTGTTACTTTTCAGAACGGATGGTTGAACCATATTGATTTTCAGAAGTATGTTCTGAAAACCGATTGGTGTTCAGGATTGGACTTTCAGAACTCAGTCCTGAAAACCAATGATTTTCAGAACTCAGTTCTGAAAAGCAAGTCGGTTTTCAGAACTCAGTTCTGAAGACTAGGGGGTTTTCAGAACTGAGTTCTCAAAACTACTGGATTTTCAGAACTCAGTTCTGAAAACTAAGGGATTTTCAGAACTCAGTTCTGAAAACCAATCAGATTTCAGAACTTAGTTCTGAAAACGTATATAGTTTCAGAACCCACTCCTGAAAAACCACGTAATTTCAGAACATAATTCTGAAAACCCATGCGGTTCAGAACCTGATTCTGAACACCAAGTCCTGAAAACAGGTAGGTTTTCGTAAGAGATTCCTGAATACCAAGGGGTTTCAGCACTCATGTTTGAGCCCCAATAGGTGGTCAGACCCCATACCTTGACGCGTCACTGACGCCAGAACTACCGCCTGAAACGCAAACGACCCCCATCCCCATGTTCAACATTGAGCGCACCCCATCTCCAAACTCAACTTCTGACCTGTAGAATTGCAGACCCCCGCTGGACAATCAAATGTTTATTCCATGAGTACACTGGAACCGCGAGGGAGAACGACAGCGTTTGGGATACGATGATTGATACTCGTGCAATGCTGCCCCTCAGCGTGCGCCCAGGTTCAACGCCCAAAACCTGAATTGAGATACCCCGAAGCAGTCCTAGATGTCCTAGATTAGAAGAACCGGGCCTCGCATAGGTTGCACACGCCATGCCTCGCCAGAGCTCTGGAGAAAATTGACGGCATCTTGCGAGGCTTATCCTTGCTCACACCACCTAGCGGAACTCTCTCGTGGCAGTGGCGATGAAACAGGAGGGGGCACATGCAACACTTAACGCGAGGGTCTTTCAGCGCCACCCTGAAGTCACAGACACAGCACGGCCCGACAATGTCGTCAGACTCGTCAAGCGCTGCTTGCCACATCATACGAATCCGCTTTGCAGGCGCAGGCAAGGGATCCCTCAAAGCTTTAGCCTTATGCCTCGAAATGCCGACGCTAGGGAGCACTATGTCGCTATCTATGAACGACGCCCACTGCCTCCTGAGGAGGCTTCCGTCTGGAACAGGGCCATCGCATCCTACGACATAAATTGGACGATCGGAGTTGTCTATCCGAACGGGGATCCCCATGCGACGTGGGTCTGGGGGACAGTCACGAAAATGCACTACTTGCACGCGGCCAGAAATTACCAGCATGGCAAACTCACCAGAGTGTCCTAACACACCCTCACTCGTTTTTTTCTCCCAGAAGGCGAGCGCCTCGGATGCCCGAGTGGCACTCTCAAGCCATACAGGGTACACATCGCCATTCGCAACGTCGACACCATCGAACATCTGGAAGTACACGTGAGCGTCGGTCTCATCGACAGCGCCTCCTTGGGCGCCTCCCAATGCTTTCTCGAATACCTCCTCTGCATTCGAGGTCGAGTCCAACGTCTCCGCGCTGGCCTTGACATCTGCCTCCTCCATCAGCCGCAGGTCGTCCAAGTCAGGGCCGTCCACGAACGATAAGTCGCCCGTCTCATCATCTGTGTGGCCATATCCACTCTGCATGATATCTTCCAAGTGTTTGGCCAATGCATCGTCACTAACAACGTGGCCATCATCGTCATGAGCAGCAGCATCATCATCGCGCCCGTCGCCGTCTGTGAGCGCAGCCACGTCAGCACCACCAGAGGGCTTCTTTTTGGGGGGTCTCTGTTTGACTGGGAGCTCTCTGCTCATGACGCACAGCGTCGTGACCTCGTCGCTGATCAGAGCAGCGCGCCCGAGATCCACTGGCACCAAGTCCACCTCGGGGGCGGCACGGGGGGAGAATGATGACGGAGCAGGATGCATTGGACAGGAGCGGAAGGGTTGAGAAGAGGGGGGCATGGAGTGGGTGGAGAGAGAACGGTTGGGAGGGGGCGGTGGTTGTTTAGATAGATCAGGCAACCTTCACCTCAGCACCTCCCTCCGTGCACATGTGGTAATACCTCGCAAATACGTGCGTTGCTGGCAGAGCTGAGAGATCCTTGATGTTTCGTGGCAGCACGAACGTGTCCCCAACACTGGCACATCGCATGAAGTAGCCAGCGTACCCGTGCACATTGCAACAGATCCACACATGCCCGTCATCCAGACCATTCTCGATCCTGGGCGCCAGGTGAGGAGGAGGAGGAGGAGGACGAGGGCGAGAAGGGAAACCCCCTGTGTAAAATCCAGCAACCTGCGGGTGTCACCAGAATAGGGGCATTCAGGTAATACCTCCTCGGGGCGTGGGGTATGACACACTTTGCACCTCCTCATCCCCCCCCTCCGCCTCACCCCCCTCTTCCTCCTCCTCTTCCCCGCCGAGATAGTGCGTTTAACGTCGCGTGTCGCCTGCCTCATCGTCCTCCTCCTCCTCATTCTCATCCTCCTCCAAAGTACCCCCAATCCTGAGCGCGTACTGCGAGGAGGCTTGCCGCCCGCCAGCCTTGTGGATCGCTCTGTACCAGAGCAGGCTCTGGCCAGAGGACCAACACAGAACCTCGTGGAAGACGGGGGGGGGGCGATGAGGAGGAGGAGGGCGGGGGGGAGAGGAGGAGGGCGAAATCCAGAAATCATCCTGGCAAACATTGAGAAAACCAACGCCTGTGGATCAAGTGCACCACGTGGCCCAAGTACGACAGGAGCAGGTGCTACACGACTCCAGTGGCAGGCTCAGGGGGGCTGAAGTCCAGGCCCTCGTGCTTGGCGTCCTGCAGCACCTCGAGGGCCTCGTCGATCATGGCGTTGACCTGTCCCTCGATGTCCGACCACTTCTTCTTGTTGTCTGCTCTCGAACCTAGCTGCAATTCACGGCGATTCCCAAGTCTGGCATCCAGCAGCGGCAAGCTTATGTTCGGGGCCCTCTGGAGGGCCAGCTTGAGAACTTTGCTCAGGCTCTCCATCTCCTGATTGGAACCAGTCAGAGACATCGCCACCACTCTCATTGGCACCCAGAGTGCCATGCTGATACTCCCACGCAGCGCACCTTGTTCAAGATCATCCTTGAATAACGTCCTGATCTTGAGCTCCTGGATGTGCAAGGACTCCTCGCTCGCATCAAGGATCGCCTTGCAGACCTTTCTCCTCTCATCGCAGCAGCTGGACGCATCTGCGAAGCCCAGCCATAAGAGATTAAGAGGGGCAACCTTCGTTGGGGCACGGGTTCTCCGTTCGAAATTGCCGATCAGATTCAGCACGAGCGTCTTGTAGAACTGTTGGTACTCGTGTGCGTCCTGCAGTGGCATGTCGTCCAGCATATCGTTCACTTTGTCATTCGAAAGCAAGTTGAGAAACTCTTGCGCTACCCTGTCTGCTCCACCGCACACAAGGCGAGCGAGATTCGACGGCCCCGTCGGGTCCTCACCCTCGTACTTCTTCAAAAACATGAAGTAGTAATGCAACAGAGGCTCCCTGGTGAGCTTGGCTATGTCCATCACGCGAAAAAAATCGGCACATGAAACTGCAATGATAACATCTTTGGCCCACTTTGTCATCTTCTCCGTAAAAGCGTTCAAGTCGTCTATTCGTATCTCGTCTGTGTCTTTGGTGGCAGCTTTCGGTTTGGCTTTGGCTTTCTTCGACAACACTTTGATCAAGACTTCCCGCAGGTCACCGCTGTCGACGCTCCTGACAAATTCTTCGCACACACTGATCTGGCCCCATCGTCCTGA